TTTCTGTGTTGCGCTGCGACGGGTCCATGGCGCACCCCACCTCTTCACAGTTTTTCCCCACAGTGCTGCCCTCTCAGCCCAGCCAACTCAGAGATGTGAATTGACCACCCCATGAAGTTTTAGAACAGTTAGACAATATAACACACAGATTTCTTTCTTTTTCCGTGAAGCTGCCCCAGGGTTCACATTGCAAGAGGGAGCCATCATGGTTTCAGAATGACCGAGACTAAGTCGTGATGGTTGACATTTTATTACTGAACTGCTGCAAAACAGATTGTTCGTGACATTCCTCTGAGTTTCAGGAACTTCTGAGATGTTTGAAGAGATGAAGAGAGAGGAGGAGACCTCACCTGATGTATCTCTGAAACAAAGGAAACCCCCTTTCTGTGAGCCTGCCATGCTAAGCTGCTAACTGCTGGAGGAAACTCAAACTTTCCAAAACGAACATGGGCATATTATAAGGTCTGGCACAGTTAGGGACAGATTTTAGTGAAACAATATGTCTTTTGATGATTGACCAATGATGAGGATGATTTTGATCATTTCTTCTGTTGACTGATGAGTAAAGACAAAGCTAATAGGATGGACCATATTGTATGTATGTGAGAGTAATATGTTTTGAGCTGTCATTATAAAGCCAGAAAAAGCTTTAACTAAGGGTTTAGAGTAGAGCTGGATGATAAAAAAAAACATATTGATAAAAATAAAGGCATTTTGATGGATTTCGATAATTATCTAAAAGGTTCTAGACACTTACTTCTTAGGTTCCATTATCTGTCTATGTATTGAATTGTGAGGCTGAGGTAGGGCTCGGATGTGCAAATTGACCAGAAGTCAACATTGTGGTGTTAAGACACAGATTGCAGCTCATTGTGCACTCATTGGACAAATTAGGGAATGTGAGTTAGAGAAAACTTCATATTGCAGATCAAAAGTGGCTAGCAGCTGTTTGATGTGAGGTTTTTCAACAGCAGAGAAGTGCAGCATATCCATTGTTATGAAGCATATTACTGCATGAATGATTTCCTTCTGCCGTTTGGACGCTTTGGTCGTATTTATCACAAAGAATGAAGGCCAGTTTGGCTTGCTTTGCCTGCTTTGTATTTGCAGAAGTCGCTGACGATCCCCTGACAACTTGGAGCCGCACAGAGGCCGACACAACTCATTCCCCATTGGGTGTAAGAGGCTTAGATGATAAAACAAATTGGTTGTGCTACCAGACTTTGTTTTTACCGGTTCCCTGCAAATTGTACAAGTCACTGTGGTTTGGTTTCTGTCTAACTTGCTATAACCAAAATATTGCCAAACTGGCAATCTAATAAAACCCTTCTTTGGAATAATGACATCCCCGTCTCCTGCTGCAACATCTTAATGTGGACTGTGTTGCTGTTTGACAGGGTGGCGCTTTGTGACAGCGTGCCTGGACCCGTGATTGCTATTGTTTGGTGGGAAGTGGTACTACCCCTACATGATTGGCTACAATGAAAAGGAAGGAAAACTGTTTTTCGATATCAAACTTTTATCGACCCTTTTTTCCATCGCGCCACAAGTCTATCGATCAATGTATATTGTTATTGAACTATCATCCAGCCCTAGTTTAAAGACTGATAAAAGGTGTTCATGTGTTTTCTCATATGCTCATTACATTTTGAACCTCTGGATGATCCTGCCTACATCTATCTGCTCGGTTCTGATCTCCTGCCTGTCTTCTGACCTCTGATACATCAGTGTCTGGGTCTCTCTGTGTGGCGATCGCTCTGCCATGTTGGCAGCCAGCCGGCCAAAAACCATCCTCTAGCTCTGGACTCAGACTGAATTGTAAGACTCACTCGTTCACGATCATCAACTTCCAGCAAGACGTGGTCACTAACCTGCTGTATGCACCCGCAGAGGTTCCAGCCTTAGACACCGACATCGCCCACCCCAAAATTCTGTTTTCAATTAACGTTTTGAGAAATCCAACTATTTGTCCACTTCAAATACTGGATCCTATAGTTTTGGGCCTTAAAAAAATGCTATTAAAAGGTTATTATTAAAGGGCCTATATCAGACTAATTCAACTTTTTGAGCTTTAATATATTGTTCTCCCTTCATCAAATCATCCCCAAAGTGGTATTCTTCTTGTTTCATACATTTAAATTCTGCAAATTCACAGCAAACGACTAAATGAGCTGCATAATCGTATGATGCAAACTCAAAAACACACAAGCACAAAAAAAATAATGCAAAAGAAAAATGCCACAAAGAAAAAATGCTGCAATCACTAAAAACAGATGTAAATGCCTAAAATCAACAAATAAAATGTGCAAAGAAAAAAATGCTGCAATGACAAAAAAATGCACTAAGCAAAAATAAAAAGCTGCAATCAGAAAAAAAAATGCACTAAGCAAAAATAAAAAGCTGCAATCAGAAAAATAAAATGATGCTAATAATACAAACAGCAGCAAAGAGTCAGACAAATTACAGACACTTTGGTTAAACAGTAACATGTTATGAATAAACCTTGACAAAGAATCTGGTTTGTTATGGGAAGAAGCTATGTCTGGTCTACAAATAACATCCCGCAGAGAACTGTGTGGCCTTCAAGTTGAAATAGACTGCGTGAAAACTTTTATAGTGAGTAAATGGGATAAATTAAGTTATAATAGAAGAGAAATCAAAATTTTCCAACAACAAAAGTCACTCCAAAAAGACACAAGTGCTCAAGATCACTAGAGGAAGACGAATAAAGAACAAACCATATCAATTGAGAGTGCTAATTAAATATATATTATGATACATAACTATGCAAATACTCTGTAATACAGTAAGAAAACATGTTTGAAAATGAAATGAAAGATAATAAACCTCCCCTTTCTTCCTCTAACACTGTATTTGAAAAAACTCTCATCCTGTTTTTAAGGAGGGTCTGGTTTGACAGTGTTTGTAATTTGTTAGATTCCCTCTAGTTGTCTGTAGTACTTTCGTTTTCTTGCCTGAGTTTACTGCTGTTTTTACCATTTAATTTGCATGTTTTTCCTTCCGTGTTTGCAGCATTATATATTTGCATCTGTTTTGTTGATTGTAGGTTTTTGCTTCTATTTTTATTGATGGTAGCATTTCTTGCGTGCAGAGGTTGTTTTGGGGTTTTAGGTTTTTCCATTTGTATTTTTTGCTTGCATGTTTCAGAGTTTGCATCACATTTTGCTCGTCATTGCGTTTGCACCTGTCAGCCACTGTACTAAAGCCCTCCTAAAAAGAACTACAAAAAAGCTATACTAATGTTGTGTACCTCTGAAGCTCTCCATTAAACCCAAAACATGAGGGTGAGGACATGAGCATGCATCACACACAGTATATTGTCAATAAAGGGGGCGAGGTTGCTTGGGGACCCCAGTGCAGAGATGATTGAAGCAGAGATTAATTCTTATTGATTTAATGAAAAACTGAGGCAGACATCCTAAAATACAAGGAACCAAAAAAACTAGAAAAGATCAGGGAAAACTCATGTGGGGAGCCAGAGACGAGGAAGCAACTAACAAAAAAAAGGAACCATTACTGAGTCATTGCAGAAGTGGTGTAAATAAGAGAAACAGAACAAAGGATGGACTCATGAGCTGAATATGGAGCAGGTGTGAGTGGAACTAACTAGAAGGAACCCAAGGGGGAAAGGAAACAAGCAAGAGGGGGTAACAGAGAGTATCACTAAAGACTGCGGGAATATAATGGAAAATAAATCAAAGATCAACAAAAGAGAATAACTGAAAACTAAATATATTCCCAAAAGAGGATAATCATGGCATATATGTGATGAAATAATACATTTAACTCCATCAGGTTGGATGTGCCTATACTGTGTTTTGTTCAAAGGATTGTGGGTAACTATATAACTCTTAGTGGCTAGGGATGTCAGGAGGCCCCTATGCTAACTGCATTGGCATCAAGAAGCATCCTTCTTCTTGGTCCGAGCTCCTTCCTAACTGCCAGCACTATTTAGACGGCACTTATTATGGCGACCAAAGATACATCTCCACTCTAAGGCAGGTAATGTGAGAGGTAGCAAGTCTTTTAATTTTGGGTTGGAAAAAGAGCACCAGAAAGAAACTAATATTTCATACCAAATAATTACTCTGTAGCACCAAAAGAAATACTTCATCATTTATTTGCCTAATACTTCACTTTGTGAGTGTTTTTTTGTTTTGTTTTGGGGATTTTAAAGCATGACATGGGGCTTGAAATTAAATTGTATTATGCTTGGATCTTTTTAAACCCTTGAGCTCTCATATGCTGCAGTAGCATAAGGTCTGACCCAGTGTTACTTTAGCTTAACCTTTCCGAACCCCAGGAAGCTTTGATGAATCCTTCCCTCTGGAACTGCCAGTGTAGACATGGTGGATTGGTAGGATCTGGCTCATAGCTGGCCACATGGTCTTTCAAATATAAGCCAGTGCCTTATAGCATGAAAGCAAACCCATTTGAAGCAGGAAATTGATTAAAATAATTTAACTACACAACAAAAATCATCAATCTACTTCTGATCTGAATGAGAAGGTCCATAAAAACACAGAGGGAATGTTGTTGAATTAGTAATGACCTGGATGAGAGAAACTCCTCTGACCCCCCACCCCCTGCCACACACACACGCCCTAACCCCCCATACACACTTTATAAAAGCGTGATGAACGTGTCTCAGAGTCTTTAAATGTATAGAAGCAGACTGAAGGCAGGCAGGGAGGAAAACAGGAACGAGAAATGGGTCATGTTACAGAATCCTGCTCTGCTGTCTTTCACAATATAGATATACAGAATTAGCCTCGTTCCCATGGGCTGCATGCAAAACCCAGCAAATACTCCCTGGATGGTTGTTTTCAGTCTTTCCACGGCAGGAAGTCCCGCTTCTCCTTGTTAGTGTGTAAAGGATGATAAATGATAAAACATTTGTGTTTTTATTTTTTTATTCGTCTGCCCAAGCTGCAACCATACAGTTATAAAGAGGAAGACGAGAAGGGAGGAAGGACATCTGGATCGGCACATTTCAACAGAAGCAACAATAAAAACACATTTCAGCCAATTGCATGGTTCTGAACAGCACTAGCTCCCTGCTCCTCATCCTCCATCCACTTAAAGCCGTCTCCTTCTTTTCCTGTTGCCATGGAGATTGGTTGCCAGGTACAGTCAGCCTGAATGGGTTAATAAGGAGGTGGGGCATCTGCAGCTCTCCAGATGGTAGTAAGTCCCTCTCTAGGGACCCTGCTCTCATACAGAGAAAGCTTCAATTACTCAGTATTCACCCCCTCAACCATCGATGCCTGAGCTGCATTATGACCTGACAGTCAACAATGAGGGATTATGGGAAGTGAGCCTGGAGAGATGCTGGATCTTCCCCATAATCTCTGTTCAACATGGAGGGATTGTTTTTCTTTTAGCAAGTGATCTGACTGGAGGAGAAACAGGAACAACCAAGAGCACGCCTCACCAGTTCATTCAGTGTGTTTACATTTATTGTAAAGCATCATGCAGCATAGATTGCTGGTTTCCCTCTGGGTTAGTAAAGTTTACTATAATATGACAGTTATCAAAATATATCACATATAATTTAATTCAAACCTTTTACATCTAATCAACAAGCATGAAGCGTTACATTTCCTATGCTTTTAAATTTTTAATCGTCCTAATACATTTTCATGACCACATTTGAAACCTGCTATGGGCAAATTTTGAGTCAGATTTGATCAACTTCAACAAAGCCAAAGGTTTTATTTAAAAATTCTAATTTAGTCATTAAATTATTCAAACGAAAGCCTGTTTTTAACATCAACATATTTGATACAGTGAGGGGAACAAAAACAGTTTCATGTAAAATGACCTCAGAAATAAACACAACATTGACCCCTAGTGGTGATTCTCTGTAACAGCTGCAGTACTATTATCATTAAGTGTTGAAAACCAGATAGGTGAAGTTCTCCTGCTTGGGTTGGACGTTCAGGTTGTAGTTTCCGATACGGTTCCTCTGGCAGTAAAACAGGCAGATGAATCCAACGATGAAGAAGAGAAACAAACCGACTCCGAGACAGGAGAGGCCAACTATGTGAAGCATGTTGAGCTTCTCCTCCAGGGACTCTGAAAGAACATTAACACCAACATTACACCAATATAAGAGCACTGGAAATTAACATCTTTACAAGAAAATATTAATATTGGTAAATAGATGTGGTCAACGCTAACAGAATGTAAAACAGTCACATGTTCTCTAAAAGAGACCGTATCAAAGTGCTCACCATCATTGAGTCTGAGTAGAGGCCCATATGATCCAGTACTTCTTGCAACTATCTTCCCACTTTGAGCTGTTCTCTGTAAGCAGTTCTGCAAGAAAGAAAGATTACTGAGGGTTCCTGGAATATTCCACACCTGATTTTCAAATAAATCTTTAGGAGGCACTCACTGGGACACAGGTGTCAGAGCCAATCTGGACACAGATCTGGACCTGGCAGTGCAGGTAGATCACATTCAGGTTAACAAAGGAGAATATCTGGACAGACAGGCGGGAGCTGGTGGAGTTACCATTCATTAACACTTCAGTGTAAGAGTTCAGAGGACAGCTGTGGAGACACAGCAGAGAGAGAAAGACCATATGGAGTGAATTTGGATCAAGTATTGTTGCAGGCAAAGAAAAATGCAATCCAAATATTAAGTTCTAAAACACTTCTTAATGAAAGAAAAAGGTCTTTAGAGTAATTTGCTGTTTGTTGTTTCAAGGTATTTCTTTTTATATATATTTTTTTATTTTGTTTTTATTGAAATTATATTTATTCATTGATTCATTAACTATTTAATCTCTCTTTTTCAATCAGAGTTTTACAAATTGCGTTCCTTTCAACATGCGTTTTACAGATGCCATTCTCTTCACTTCTCGGAGCGGACCTCTGAAGCGATTATTGGTCTGCTCGGTCGTTAGCAGAAGCATTTTTATTGTTCAATGTGCCCAACAAGAGCAATCATTTTGATTGGACTTGAAGTGAAGAGAATTTGAACTGTAAGGAAAGTAAAAAGATTGCCATCTGTTAAACTCAATAAAAAAAAAGGAATTTCAAAAACAAAATGTAAAAAAAAGTGTGAAAAACATTTGAAAAAATAATATCTGAAAAAACAGCGAAGTTATTCTCAATATTATATATTATATATAATCCTGTTTGGATTAAGAAGTTTTAAACTTTTTAACTCTGAATTGTATTTATCTAAAATTTCCATTCACAAAACAACTTCTTTGCTTGAAACAATAATTGAAAAAATGTCACTCCATAGACTGATGACCTTTGGCTTTACTGGCATAGAAAATGCTGATCACTTATATTTTAGAATATTTATAATGGTTGACCTGCAGCATAATTACTTACAAAAAGAGGCTGCCAACCAAAGTACAATCAAGTGTTTTATTACTCATTTACAGGTTTAGTCAAAGGGTAAACTTGCTGAGTAAGCATTGTTAGATTATATAGCAGGCAGCTAATGGCACTTATCGGTCAGCTTCATATGAACTCTAATAAGCTCTGCAGCAGTTTTAATTATCTCTATTTAAAAAACCAGAGTACTGATTGCACAAGAACCCCTTAATGTTTAATGGATAGTTTCCTTATAAAATGGTGTCAACATTTTGTTTATTTTACGTTCAAGAACAAAATAAAACCCCTAATACTTCAGAGGTGTTGGGGCCATTTAACAGAAGATGTATGGAGCGTTATGGTATCGCTTCCAACTGCTCTTTTTATGACGCATCTTGAGTAAAACTAATAAATGGAACCGGGCTAAATAAAAAGTGATTGTTAAAAAACATTGTTTTTATTTATTTATTTGGGAATAGTTAGGTTTCTACCTAATGGTTGCTTTTGGGTGTTTATTCTTGCCATCAGAATAAACATGGAAAATATAAAGGAGCTTCAGCTGCAGATTCTGGCTGCTAAATCCTGTGAAGCTCATCAGTAAACACTGTAGCTTTAAGAACTTTCTGGATCATATTATCCGGTTATAACAATAATCAATGACCCAAAAAATAAGTAAAAATTCTAGCATATCTGTTAGAAGTCCATATAAAATAAAAATTAGACCTTTCTTTTGTTTTGCTTTTTTCTTTTTTTTAATTGTAATTTTAATGATGAATTAGATAAAAGTAGTTCAAAGTGAAGAAAAGCAAATGTTGTGCACATGTGGATGGAACCATTGAGCTGCAGGAGAAGCAGACCTGTTCCTCAGGAAGGTGTAGCTGGAGGAGTCTGCAGGGTTTTTGGTGGGAGTGGCCCAGCATTCGTTTATGACCACCTTCATCTGATGTGAGCTGCTGTTCAGGCTGACCTCCAGCACCACAGCCTGATCATGGGACAGGCTGTAGTTATTGGGCAGAGGCTCGGTGCCGTTCATCAGCTGCACCGCCACCTGGAAGGATCCCAGACCCGTGATCACATCCTGTATCATGTCATACCTGCAGATGGATGGGAACAGAAAATGTGCAGGTGAGACAAACACCATGATGATGATGATGATGATGATGATGATCATGATGATGATGATGATGATGATGATGATGGACAGGTTCTGTTAGTGTGAGGACGCCCTGTGTAATTTTTAAAACACACATCCACCTGACACTTTCTGTTTTTATTACAAAATTCGGCTCATTGCGAGGAGTTTAACATTTTAGAGAAACAGTGATGTTGTTTCTGTGAGATAAATTAAATAAATTAATTTAAATAAATCCATGAACTGGAAGGAGAAGCTGAAGAACTGTAAACCGGCTCCTATAAACTGATTTAAATAAACTATTTGATGCTCAACTAATACATTGGTTCTTTTGTGAGCTATGATTAAAGCTTTGGGGTAAATTTCAAATAAGACAAAAACACCTCCAGAGGGCGATGTTGACAACTTTGTTGGTTTGAAGAACATCTACATCAGGGGTCACCAACCTTTTCAAGGCCTGCAGGCTACCTCATGGCTACTACATCATAGGAAAGGCTACCTATATACTGGAGGGGTCAGGGTTCACCTAAACTTTATTCATAAAAAAATTATTTTTTTTTTTTGCTTTTTCTAATTTCTAATTTTCTTTATTTTCTTAATCATTATAAATGTTTAAATGCTCTATAAATAATTTAAAAAGAAGAGCAACAGAATCAAATGAAATTTCAATCTGAGTTGTTCTGTTTTCAGAAGACGCTCAGGGCCCCTAATGTGGTCCTGTAGGGCCCCTTGGTGCCCGCCTTGGTGACCCCTGATCTGCATACTTAGTCCTGACCTCACAGGGTTCCTAATGTGCTCCATCTTTCTCTGACAGCGACTATAGATTTAAGGGACGGCCATTAAAAGGCGACACCTTTAGATAACAACCATCTTTTTCAGAATCCTGAGCAGCTTTTTAGTATTATTTGATACTTAAAATTAAAATATAGCTTAATAACAAATTTTAAAGAGTATATGGATACAGTGTACACCTTTATACACTCATGGTAAATGAATTAGAGTATGTGTTCTGATGCAGCTTTCTAAAATAACAATCTTTGAGCAGGTATTAGGAATACCTTTTATTTAACCCATTGTTCTGATTTAAAAAGTTATTTAATGCCAGAATCTTTTATCTTAGTTTGAATTTTGCACTATTTACCAAAGAGTAATGATTTTTTCCTGCATTCCCTGAAGATTTTCCTGGATTCTATACTTTTTGATTGATAAATTCACATCTGTCTGCATCAGAAGAAACTCCTCCGTATCTGCTGATCTGCTGATATCAAATCAAATAAGAGAAACTTTAGAATGGGAATAATTATTTACTGTAGAAACAGAATACTAAACACCCAAAGCACTGGTGCAGACACAAAACCCAGGCGCTTAATGTGAAGAAAACACAGGCTTTCGTCGGAGGTCTTCACTCCTCCATAGCATATATCCAAAGCAGCGATTGTTTAGCCTTGGATTCCTCTCTGACTGGCTCTTATAACCCCCATGGGGGTTATAAGAGCCAGTCAGGGGTTATAAGAGCCAGTCAGTCGGTCAGCATAGATTTTCAATTCTAAGGAAACTTTAACTAAAATCATTCCCTTCTGCTATCTTGACAAAACATTATAGAACTATGGCTTAGAATGGAGATGGAATGTAGCAGAGAGGAGTGCCCGGCCTGCAGAGAACAGTGAGGGT